AACAGTAATATTTTTTTGTAAAAACAGTAATAATTTTTTAAAAAATATGTTTAAATTTCTTACTTGAAAATATCATCGGCGGCGGCGGTGGAGCGGGGGAGGGTGCGGGGATCGAGATCGAGATGGAGGGAGAATCGAGATCGAGATGGAGGGGGATCCAGATCAAGTGTCCTCATGATTTCAAAAAATGCCCATGAAATTTAAAAATATTCATGATATCAAAAAGTGCCCATGAAATACAATTGAGAAATGAAGACTACGATTTAAATACAGTCGATCTTAGCTAGCTATCTGTTCACAATCTTCTTGCCCTTCTTTTTCGCAAATGGAGTTCTTCTGTGGAACGGACGTCCTTTAGGTAGGATGGTCCTGCTTCTTCTTGTGGTGTGTGCTGCTACTTCATCGTCGTCGTCATGTTCGATCTTCGGGTCGCCGTACTTGTCGAAGCCTTGCTCATTGGCTACTCCATCCATTCCGATGATCTTTCTTTTGCCTCTCCTCACGACAACACGACTGGGCTTTGGCGGGTCGGTAATGAAGAAGCATTGGTCCACTTGGGAAGCCAGTACCCATGGCTCATTTTTCGCGGTGACATTTGCGCCCGCGGTCTTGGATTTGGCTTCGGGTATAAACACGACGGGGCTTTGGCATAGTGCGCCATTAGTAGGTTTGCAAAAAAGTAAAAAAAAATTATATACTAATGGCGCACTGTCTTGATCGTGCGCCATTACAAGTTCTAACTAGTAATGGCACACTTTGCCATTCCTGCGCCATTAGTTTGTATGGAAAAATGGGAAAAAAATCAATAGTAGTGGCGCACCATGATCACGGTGCGCCATTAGTGTCTTCCACACTAATGGCGCACGAGCAACCGGTGCGCCATTAGTATATAGTAATGGCGCACTACTTACCTGGTGCGCCATTAGAATCAGTCCTATCTATAGCCCTTTTCCTAGTAGTGAACGTTTGCATAATTCACAGAATTTCATCATCAAATACGTGATTGGCAAACTCACATTCAGCTGCAAGATGATTTGGTTGTGCATACATGGGATCACGTTGGCAATCAATAGATATATTAGATATCTTTTTTTACAATGTATTTGAGAAAATTTAATTTGTATTTGGCTCGTAAACTATGGCATATCTATTTGGTTGTGAAACTATTAAATTTTTGTATTTTATTTCATATGTTTGCAAAAAGAGCTAAAAATGGACGCAAGCCGGCCACGAGGACGAAAATGCGCCCGCGCGTTGAGCGCACAACGGACCAAAACGTAAAAGGGGGCGAACGAGCCGACCCAAATGAACAAAACGCGGATAAAAACACGCATCTGTTTGAGTCGACTCGTTGGAGTTGCTCTTAAGACGAGAGGTTGGAGCAAGGTCTGCCTGGTAAATAGTTTTTCTTCTCCATCTCTATGAGTATCTCCAGCAGCTTCCCTATTACCCCAAAAAATCATATTGACGGGAGTATAGCACAAAAAACGCTCCATCAGCTCGAAAGTCCTATCCTGCTCCCGGGCTCAAATGCTCTCTTATGAACAGTAACACCAAATAAAAAGGTAAAAAAAATTGCCGTTGAACTTTGACAAATATTTTGTAATCTTGCAAAGTTTCAGCACCAAATAACATCCGTGCAAGGCCTGACAAAAAAACAAAATCAGCACTCCAAAATGTTTTCAAAACTTAGCATTTTTGGAAATTGATTTTGTTTTTTTGGTCACGACTTCCAAGAATGTCATATCGTGCTCAAATTTTGTAAGCATACAAAATATTTGTCAAAGTTTACCACAAAAAATCAGATTTTTTGTTTTTGATTTATTTTACTATTTTCTTTGATTTTACTGTTCATAAGGGAGCATTTGAACTCGGGAGCAAATACTCCATGCCTCCATCAGCTTCCTTACTCTTAACATTTTTTATCACAAAAACACCTCATCTTCCCCTCTACGAAGGGGAAGATTTCCCCTCCAATTGACCAGTGGCGGGGAAGCCAAACGCCTGAGCCTTCACACCCCGGTGCGCCACCGTACCCCCCTAGCATGTGATCGTCATTCCGCCACCACCTCCCCTGCCCCCGGACGCGCCCTCACTGGTGCCCGCCTCACCACGCCATTGGTGTCTTCTATACAAGCGAGAGAGCGATAGAGTGAGATATTGGTCACTATATGATGAGGTGCATATGTCAAGCTAAGTATAGGGGAAATCATATTGGGGATTAGCAGCACAACCAATAAATAAATATATTGAGAGAACCCCAATAATCACTCGTAAGGGAAGATTTTTTGGGAAGTTGTTGGAGATGCTCTAAGGACATCTTAGAGGATGGCCCAGGGGTGCATCATCTTGCCAGTAGCCGGCCTAAACGCCGACCCGAGGCCCCCTAGCTCGATTTTCACTCTGGGCCATCATGCTGGCCCATGGGTCCAATAGAAGGAAGACCCTGGAAGTCGCGCAAAAAAATAGAAGGAAGACCCTGGAAGCTTTGTCGTCCAAGACAAGGAAGCCAGAGTCATGAAGGACTCCACTCCACCAACCTAGATGACTAGGTTGGAGGGGTTGGATCTTTTGCCCCACTTTACAAAAGATTCAATTTCTGGACTAGGTTGTGTAACTCTAGGTAGTGTAACTCTAGGGGCCCGGTATCTTATATAATTAGACCTTAATTAACTAGGAATTGTAAAAAAAGATGGAGTGATAGTTCTGGGAGAAGCTGGGGAGGGGGTCAATTCTGGAAGAATTGCCCAAAAGAACTGGCCCAAGTCGGGCTGGAACTAGTCGATAGAACAATAATAGTCTCTCAGTTATACCTGTACTTTGTACACCCTAGTCATAATATACACAAGCAAGAGTAGAGTTTTACCTTGTAAAGAGGGCATGGACCTAGATAAATTTGTCTCATGTTTCCCCTCCCACCTCAAAAATTACAGTACCTGGTCACAAGGACCGGCACAGGACGAAAAAATAAGCTGGAATCGCCAACACAAACAGAGCTTCTATGCTCAGATCTGCCCTCTGTTCTTCCTCTTGATCTTCCCTCGCCAGTCAGCTATGGGCAGCTGAGGTGCAAACTTAAGAGTATTCAACTTCAGCACCTACAAAATTGATGTGCCACATCATTTTCTTGAAAGAAAAAAAAGAAATGATGTACCTGAGAGTTAAAAAAGAAGGAATATAAAGATAATGTACCTGATGTGGATGCGAGAGTGATATGTGTGACCAGTTTGTGGCGCTCATCACTTTTCAACTTCTCTCCACATGCAGCAGGACGACTTCTTCAGAGGAATAATCTGCAGGGCGCACAGACTCTTACGTTTCACCTATAGAGGATGAATACCAAATTCTCCCCGGTTTTCAGGCCATCTCAAAATTCTTAGAAATATTAAAGGAAAACCTGGAGCATATTTCAGCATGAGCTGATTTTGCTTACTCCCGATCACAGGCACGACTTGGTAATCTAATTTCTTCCGATTACGTGTACTTGCTCTAGAACAACCACAAACGGCAGTTAAACAGTGGTACTAGTAACCAAACAAAGTGGGATGCAATTCTGCGTTTGCTCTTCTTCTTTTCTCTTCTGCTCTATACAAGGTCTTCAGTTCACCCGGTTGGACACCTTCACTTATGCACCATGTGGTCCTGTATGTACCTTTCTTCCTCGATAAATATAGGCAAAGGGGTTTCTCCCTGCGTTACAAAAACAATTCGATCAGCTTCAACTCGGATTTAGTCAAGATCGCTGTAAAAGGTTAAAAATTGCTGCTGTGCCGGCTCCGGTCAAAAGCCAAAAGTGTAAGCAACTGTATTTCAGGCCATGAAGAAGAAAACATCTTCTCAAATCTCAGTTCTATAGAGAAACAAAACAGTGACAGCAGCAGCAGATTCATTAAAGCTTGATAGTTCTTGAGACCATATCGCCCAACCATCATACAGAACAACTAAAGTTGTCCTTTGCACAACTAAAGTTTAAACAAATCCACCAACCATTCTGCTTCTTTGGATTAGAAACTTCTCAGAATGGAACCTCGGGTATCAAATCTAATTGGACATATCACATCTGATCTCACACAGTCCCATTCTCTAAAAATAAATCTCTCGGTAAAATGAATTACTAAAGATTGTACCAAGTAATAACCCTATTCCAAGTTACATCGAAGCACAATTTAAGATATGTAAGAAAATCGTATTCCAGGTTTTGTCTTCATAATCTCAAACAAAATCTGCAAACATGATCATATAAGAAGTTACCGCTTCATCACATGCATGTCCGTGAAATAATTCTACAACATAGCTCTATATGTTAATAAAACTGAACACTTATATAGAAGAAGCATGTAGATCATCCAAATAAATTTAAAGAATTCAATGATAGTAACTAACCCTAGCAGCATCCATGATATCTTCTTCCAGAGTCTGGAGCTTTGAAGATACCGACTCGCGACTGGTGCAATTAGCATAGTCAATTTGAGTGACAAGGCAGTTGTGACAACATATCTCCACATATTTTTACATATTGGTTATGAATATGTTGTTTCACACACCCCAGCTCTATACAAAAATCCCTATGTATGTGAACGCTTATCGGGTAAGCACTTTAAACTCTCGCAGCCATCAATGTAGACGGTCTCCAGTGATGAGAAGTCTCCCTGACATGACTCTACTAGCCTCAACTGATCACAGAATCGAATATCAAGATGGCCAAGTTTATGAAGTTGCCCTGACAGGACTTCAAGTTTAGGGCAGTCCGTGATAATTATTGTCCTCACAGATGATGGGAGATCAATAATTTCTAGCAATCCTTCACAATATGCTATCCAAAGATATTCTAAACATGGTAGGGGATGATTCACTGTTGATGGCAATGAACCTGGTACAGTTGTGAATGCAGTAAATTTACTGCAAGATTCTGACAGCTCCAGGTTGTTCTGCTGTTCAAAATACTGGCTCCTTATTTGTTTATCCAGCTTTCCCCATATAAACTCAAGCTTAGGGCAACTCTAAATGTGTACTTCCTTGAGATACAAGGGAAAATCGAGAAGCTCTACCAAACTTTGACAACTTATTAGTGTTAAAGACTCGAGGCATGGTAGATAATGATTTCTTGCCAGAGAAGAGGGATCTCGTTCAATTGCAGAGGCACTAAGGCCACTAAAGGAGTCTGATAATGTCAAGTCATCCGGGTATTCAACATAACAATTCTTTTCAGTACTCTGCTTACCCCATATGAACTCAAGCTTACTGCATCTCTCAATATATATTTCCTTCAGTGATGAAGGAAGGCTGAAAATCTCGACCAAGTTTGGACAACTTTTTATTTCCAAAGATTCAAGACATGGTAGGAGCTGATTTCCTTCGTATACTACTTCTTCAAGAATCTTTGCAGATCCAGTAAGATTGTTGCAACAATGAATTATTAATCTGTTCAAGGATACCAAGCATTGAAGCTCTTTTAATGGCCAGTAGGTAAGCTCGTCACAAGAAATGATTTCCAGATAGCTAAGGTTTACAAAATATTTCCAGCTTGTGTGGAAGAAATAGCTTCCACATAGCTCCATAGCTGCATGAGAAGATCTATGGTTCCATTTCCCCTTACCATCTACCTGTTGAACTGAACATTGCACGTGCGAGGGAGAATATGGTGTGATTTTCAATCTTGCACTGGAAAATGCAGTCATATATCTGGCCATGGATAACCAAATCAATGGCCTATCTTCTGGAAACACTAATACTCGAAGCCTTGGTGCTTCTAGAGTTGATAGCTCTGGACAATCTATAATATCGGCATTCTCAAGCAGTGGAAATGTTGGTTGTTCGCCATATCTTTCTTCTTTTTTTCCCCATCTGCTCAAACTCTTCAAACCATGTAACATGAGTTTCTTTAATGCTGGAAATGCTGAGTGTCCCTTGTTACCACCGCAGCTAGAAGATTCTCCAAGCATTGGTGGTTCTGGTAAGTTTGTCAACTTATTGCAACTCCCAATTGATAGTTCCTCCAGAAGGGGAAACAGCAATTGGTGTCCATGTCTTCCTTTTACTTCCCACCATCCATTCAAAATCTTCAAATCAAGTAACACAAGCTCCCTCAATTTTGGGAATGTTGAGGATGTGAAAGTGCCTCCATCACCGATGCATAGGCAGTGCAATCTGTCCATGCTCTCCAAATGAAGAACTTGAAGAGCTGGTAATTGCCACAGCTGGGGAAGTCTGTCGCACACTGTGCAACTGACTAGGCTCAACTTGACTAGGTCTTGCATCACACTCAGGTTCGCCATCCAAGTTGGAAACCTAATGCTTCTATAGGAATCCACCAGTAAAATCTGAAGACCACGGTTAGGAGTAAAAGCATCCAGCACCTTTTCATGAAAATCGACCTCACTGCAATCATTCTTCCATGCAAAAGATAGCTGAGTGAGGTCCTTTTTACCCCCATGGTTACCCGTTGTTATATCTGCTTCTGTTACATTTTCTAGATGGCATAGCGCTAGCTGACCTCGAAGGTTCATGTGCCTCAGTTCTCCAATGCTACTACAGCCAGAGCTACAGCCTACAACAAAATATGTCAGCGTCTGTAGGGAAGTTAACCATCCAAGATTTGGAGGCATGCGCTTTAAGGACAGACACCCATCAGTATATAGGTGCCGAAGGCCAGTCATGTACTTCATATCCTTTGGAAGTCCACTAAGACGTTCACATCCAGAAAGGTTCAACGTCCGTAGGTTATACATGATGCAGATTTCTTCAGGAAGTGCTTTGATATGACAATTGCCGGAGAGGTCGAGATACCTGAGGTGCTTCGGGTGCTTTGGTACAAATGGAAGCCCACTCGACCTGTAGTGACAGAGCTGCAGTGCTCGAAGACAAGTGCACTTCGATAAATGTCGTACCGAATTACTAGCATCAATACTGCCCAACATGGTCTGGATACCTGAACATGTTTCCTTCAGTGTAGCACTCAGGAAGGATCCAGGACCATGGGATGACAAGAACAAATGGCGAACAGTGTATGGCAAAATCTCCATATATTTCAGCCTCTCCTCTATAGTAACACATTCTTTTCCCATCACAGACAGTGCAACATCATGCATAAGATCATGGACAGTACAGGTAGTCGTATAGTTGTTTCCACCTCCATCCTGGTTTACATCTTGAAAGAATGACCTTGAGACAAGCTCATTGAGTATTTGTTTACCTTTTGTTTCTGGACGGATTGCACCTTCTGGTGGAATGAAGTCAACTGCCATCCATAACTGTATCAGTTTGTCCACATTAATCACATAATTTTTCGGAAAGACGGCACAAAAGGCAAAGCATTGCTTCATGTGTGCGGGTAAATCATTGTAGCTGAGCTTGAGTATAGGTAAAATCCCACTCTCCTCATCACATACACTGCTTTTTTCTAACACAGCTCCCCACTCTTCCACGCTTTTTTGGTTGCTCAACATAGATCCCAATGCCTTTGCGGCTAAAGGGGACCCATGGCACCTGTCCACGATCTCCTTGCCAATCTGAACCAGCTCATCAGGCTTTTGTCCATTCAATCCAAATGCTCTTTTCTCAAATATTGCAAGCAAATCTTTTTTGTCCATCGTTACCAATTGATGGGCCTGAGCTGTTCCCATGATTTGAGCAACTCTGTCATCGCGAGTTGTCATCAATATTGCACTCCCAGAACCACCACACTGTTGAAGACAGTATTTTAGCTTTGCCCACTTATCAGCATCGCGATTCCATACATCATCCAGGACAAGGAGGTACCTCCTTCCACTGATTTCGTGCTGAAGCTTCTCCAGTGCCCTTTCACTGTCTTTCTCGGTCGACACACTGATCTTATTAGCAATGTCTGTAACATCAAAGTCATCCAAAACACACACCCACTTCCGGAGCTGGAAATGCTTTCGGGTATCAGGATCATTGTAAATGATCTGTGCAAAAGTGGTCTTCCCCAAGCCACCCATTCCAACAATTGGAAGGACCAACAGGTCCTTGTTTGTAGAATGGGCAAGCAACATGTCAACAATCTTCCACTTCTCTGCCTCTCTGCTGATAATATTCTCAGAGTCAATCATGATCGAATCTGTCTGCCGCCACTGCTTGGACGCTGGCATTTCCTGTCGGTATTTGAACCCAAAGGCATTCATCTCAGCAACGAGGACCTCGATGGTACGCACAATCTTGCGCAGCTTCTTGCCCATCCTGTAACGAAACAGCATAGGGCTGTGAGCCGGGCGGAGCATCACTGCATCGGTGCTGAATTTGTTGTCTTGCCCCTTCCTCTTCGCTTCACGGCGGAGCGCTTCATACTTGAGCTCATCGAAAACGTCATTGGCTTTGTACGCAGCAGCCTTGAGTGCTTTGAGCCAAGCACTCACCCCAGGCCGGTGAGTCCCCTGCTCCTCCGCGTCAGTTATGACGTCCAATATGGCCGGCAGCTTGCGCTCCAGAACTGCGAGCTGCTCCTCCATACCATCCATCTCCTGGTATTGCCATGAAGCTTGATGAAGTGATGAAGTGACAGCCAGTAGCCAGTACGCCCTGAATTTTCTCTTCTTCTTTTTAACTTCTCTGATTCTTTAAAAGATTCGCTTCCAAACAAAACAGAGTAAACACAAGTGAGAGTGAAAGAAGTGATATTTTCTTGGAAGTCACAGTGACATTTGAGGCGGGAAGGAACCATCCCCTTATCTCAAACATGTCTCTTGACTTGAGTTGCTGTTTGAGTCACTCTACCGCTAGCTAGCTCCATTCTAAAGTACCTGATATGATATTCTGAAAAGCAAGCAGTCAAACTTGCATAACTTTGACTAATGATATGTAAAAGAATTATTTCGGTTGGTCAAAAAATGATAACATCAGATTTTTCCTGAAGCTATTTTCATTAATGCGTTTTTAATTTTTTTTTACTACCATATTCATATGAATACAATTGTCTTGTGTGCATATCTGTTAAATCATGTAGTATTTGGCAGTGAAACAAACAGTTGCTGCATTTGCGGGAAAGTTCAGCAATGTGCGGCTACGAACCAAACATGCCCGGGGTATCAAATTAGGACCCTCCCACCAACGACCACTGTCAAGTGCACTTTGATTGTAGATGATGATTGGGGCTAATTAATGCCCAGGTCCTTTTATTTTATCGGTAATGCGACACTAAATGGATAATTACTGTCTCCTAGAACAAAGTGTGCACGAAATACAGTCATCACCAGCTACTTAGGCAACATGTATCCAACTTTATGGATGATTTTCATGTACTGATTAGGCATCGCCTGCTTGCTCACTTTATGGATGATTTTCATGTACTGATTAGGCATCGCCTGCTTGCTCACATGCGAAGGTGCGCTAGAATTGATGGGAACAAACATTTGGCCCCTCTTTGACCGCAATGCAGATGCAGCAGCGAAGCGTTGTGGCATTTCCACAAACACCTTGTGGCCTCAAAGATGCCCCGGGCGATGAACCCAAACTTTTCAGCAGCGTTTTTTTTTCTATATTCCTTTCATTATTACTTATATTTCTGAAGTGCAAAAAACATTACGTAAAATTTAAAAACGTTCATCTCTAGTTGAAAAACATGTTAATGCATTGTTAAAAAAGTGTTCATGCAACTTTTAGTAAATGTTGATAACATTCAAATAAATCCGTGACATTTAAGAAATGTTCCCGCATTTCAAAAAACGGGACATGGGCATTCCAAAAAAAACACTTACACAACGTAAAAAGGTATTAAAATGATTTTTAAAAATCGTGTAATTCAAAAAAACATATGTGATATTTTCGAAAAATATCAGCTGTTTCCAAAAATCTGGTCATGACATTTTCTTCTGAATATTTATACAGTTTTAAAAATGTTAACGTAGTTGAATAAAATATTGCACAAAAAGTTTCAACTTGTATTTGAAAAAGTATTAGTCATGTATTTGAAAAATGTTAAACATGTATAGAAAATGCTTGATGTATATGAAAAAAACAGGCATGTATTAAAAAAACTAAAATGAAAATGAAAAACCAAACAAACTGGTATAAACATAGAAAATTGAAACCCAAAAGAAAACAGATGAAATTAAGACAGA